TTTAACCCGCTGCGCCACCAGGGAGGGCCTAAGGTTTCTTTTTAATGTGATTATTTACTTAGCAAGTGAGGACTTTTCCACTCGCTATAAAGGCATGGCGTGTAATTTCAGGAACTTGTTGCATGTAGTCACTTGGCTATCTGAATGAGTGTTTGTATTTATTATAAGATTTTTATGAAAAATAGTGGGTTTTTGTTTTTAATTGGATTTTATTTTTGCATGACATACAATTAGGTGTGATATACTTCCTGTTTTCTATACATTATAGTTCACCCTGAACTGATTGGGTTATATACACTCTTTCCAAACAACAAAACTGCAAAGTTAGAATAAGCTTGATGTTCATTTATATATAAAATAAATGCTACTATATTTTATTCTCAAGAATGTAGACCCATCAAACAAATTAAGCTTCTTACTCCTGAGTACATTGTAATTTGGAAAATTCTTTTTAAAAAATATACTCCGTGGTTCTATTATCCCCAACGTATTCAATTAAGATTTTGTTCTCTACCTACATAAAACTTTTTAACTTGAAAGTTACAATTTCCAATATCAATATCATTAAACCAATGTTGATCAGTTACCGGAAACCAGGCAACAAATTTAAGATAATTTATTTTACCTAATGCATCGAATTACCTGTGTTAGAAATACATCAAAATGAATAGGGCTTGACATTGTTTATTTTAAGTGCAGACCAGGAATGTAAACTTCTTTGCCTTTCATTTCTTTATTTGCAATAGTTAATTTCATGTCTTTCTTTGGAAAAACCCTTTGGCTTGCAAATACAAGTCCCTTAATAGCGATAGATGATGGTAGTTTGCAAGTGGTCAAAACGAGCCACAGAGATTAGAGAATGAGGAAACACAGATTTCTATGTTGTGAGTAGATAGAAGGAGTAGAAAATGTGTCAACACAATCAGAAGATCACACAAAATGAGGAGAGAAAGCCTGTGAACCAAATAGGAAGGCTTGAGCCTGTGGTGTTCATGGTCCTGGGCAGTCTGGAAACTGTTAAATAATCTTTACATACGACTTTAAAATCCAAACTCATCCACTGGCTTTTTGTCAGGCTCGAGTCCATTTTTTTTCTCCTCTATACAAAGTGCTACAACTTAAAGTTGGGTTTTAAATTAGTCTCCAGTGCTCTAATTTTGTATTCATCCTTTTTGATTTAAGAAAAGTTAAATATTTAGAAAATTGAACAGTGCAGAGGTGTGAATGGAAGTTGTCTCAGCAGGTGCGGGCAACATGCAGCTATGCTCTTTCTCTGAACTTTTCCAGAGGCCGCTGCGGAGTGTTAGAGTCCCACAGATGTTGACATATGTTTACAGACGTCTCTTTGGCCATCAGCAAATCATGCTTCTATTTCTCACTGTAGACTGTTGAAGCAGATGCGCCTTACACTAGAAAAAAGCCAAGTTTGCTCTCCTGTCTTTCCTTTATCCTGTCATCACAGCATTTTTTCAGAAGTTCCAACAGCTATAAACAAATAAAAAGGGAACAGCTTTGCCTTTCATTCTTCAACCTATTTCTAAATTCCCAAGTACAATATGTCAGCTTCTGCCAGTCACCACGGTGAAAATTTTTTTCCAGTCGTTTTCAGGAAGATGGCTGTTTTCCAATTTCATTTTTTATTAGGATGTGATTGTCAATGCCTGGTTTAGCGGCCTCAAGATTCTAGAAAGAAATTAAGGTAGTATGCCTGAAGTCATGAGGTTTTCTCATGTGAAAGAGGGTACTTAGTTAAAAAATAAATTAAAATTGTATCTTTAAAAAATAAAAGCTCAGCTATAGACATTTATGTGGCTTTTATTGGCTAATTTCACTAAGCCAGTACAAAGTGGTAGAAAAATTTGCTTCCAATTTTAAAGATTTAGCGTTACTCTTTAAAAGCTCTATGTTACTTTTAAGTGTATATGTGAGAAAATTCACATGTCCATACTAAAGTGTAGGAGGTATAATATTGACATACAACCAAAATAAACAATGGATCTAAGAATTCCAACAAATTGTGTAGCCCTGCCTGGAGGGACATGCTTCTGTGAATTGGCAGAGAGCTCAGTCTTAATATTTCACTCATTTTTGGTGCAAGTAGAAATTCTGTGAATTTCCTCTGTTATGCTCCTACTTAGTAGTTGTCTGGTGGTGGCTGAAAAATGAATGCATGTGATTTCTTTCTATCTTTTTTGCTTGATATGTTAAGGAATGTCTAACTCATCTGCAGCAAGAAGTATAAATTCTTTATTTTCTAGCCACATTTCAAAAGAGGCTTAGGGGTTGGTTGCAAGTGGAGACCCATCGGCTGGTCAAGTTGGTTAAGTTTTTGCTTTGATTTGTTGTTAATATATTTTTTTTAAGATTTATTTATTTATTGTACAGAACTAGGGTACAGGCCAGAGATGCGGAGGGTGAGTGGATTCACCAGAGACAGAGTGGGGAGCAGAACAGGCAGATCGGCGAAGTACACTGCTGAGGGGAGCAGCGGACGGGTCAGGAGAGGTCTGCCATGCCATGTGGGTCACCTCTGGGAAAGGCGGGGATCGAACTCATGCGGAAGTGGCTTTAACTTCTCAGTGCTGTGCTTTAACCCGCTGGCCACCAGGGAGGGCCTGTTGTTAATGTTTTTAAGTGAGATCTTACATAGTGTCCAGATTTCCAGATCTTTGTGAATAATTGGACGGACTCCCAAGACCAGTCTTTGAGTGCTCTTGTCAGAACTCAGGGCTTTCTCCTTCCCCCCAGCCCCTTCTACCCCCCATCTTTTAGCTTCCAGGCCGCATAGTCCCAAGTCTTGTCACGCTTTTTGCCTGCCACGGAGACTCGCATCTGCCATCCTTAATTTGAATACAAAATTTACAGCGGGTTATGGTTCCTAAAATCAGCTTTTAAAAGTTGCTGAATTCCATCATTCTATTTGGTTCAGTTTTTTTCGCATCAGTGCTTTTATTTTAATTGGATCCATAACTGATTAGCAGAAATGTGGGTCTTTTTCACAGGTTGCATTGAAATTCAGTGTTGTATTGCAGCATTGCATTACATTTCATTCTACTGATTGGTGATCTTTTGAGGAAAGGCATTTATTCAATAAAGAAACAAAGATGGTTTCTGTGATAACCCTTCAAATATATAGCTAATCTTCTAATGGACCAACTAGATCAATTTCCAGCTCTTAAACCCACCTCCACAGAGCACGAACCAGGGACAAGAGAACTTGCCTTGTGCAAAGTGGACAAAGAAGCAGTTTCTACCCCTTGTGGGTGAAGTCAAGCCTGTGTAGAAACAAAACAGAACAAGAAGCTAGAAATACGCATCAGAATTCCAGGGAGAGCGTCCGGCGAGGCCATGCCTGGGGGCTGTTCTCCCATGTGAGGGGGTCATGGACGCCAAGTGAATTTGCTGTGAGGGGGTCATGGACGCCAAGTGAATTTGCTTGTTGCTTTGTTTCCCAAGTTCCTTTTGCCTCACCGCTGACAAAATGGGTCTGTAACACCACTGAGAGCCCACTTGGGCATGTGGGCCACAGAGAGCAGCAGTCCTGGGTGAAACCTGGCCATCGGGAGCCACATCAGACGCGGGCCCCAGGGCTTCCTTGTAGGTAGCCCGCTTGGAACTTGGCAAACACCGCTGCAGTAGATGGTGGTGACCCTGCTCTTCTCTTCTCCCTTCTTCTCACATTTCTCCAAGTCATGTTTTGGGTCACTTGGTCTGATTTGGCCTGAGTGCCTCGCTGAATAACTCTTCCTTGCCAGCATGGGACGTCTACGTCGTCCACTCCAGGCAGACTTACGACTGACAAACCCAAGTGGCTCCAGAAGGCACAGGATGTTGCCAGTGTTCTTGTGTGTGAGGTGACCATCAGCTTGAACCCAAATTTCAAAAAGGAGTTCTGAGAAAACTCTCCTTGCACTTTGGGAAACAACCTTCGATTTGGTGACACCGAGTTCACAGAAGGAAAGTGACTTCTCTGGCTCGCAGGGTGTGAGAAGTGGCGGCTGTGGGCCTGGAACCCTACTCCCAAATCCAACACAGAGTCCAGGGTCTTGGTCAGTGGGAAAGCTGCTCAGCGTGGCCTGGGCCCCTCACACTGTCTACTCTGCTGTGGGAAGGGGCGTATAACGCCAGGCCAACCGTGAACTGGTGCTCCTGGGAGTGAGTCCCAACCATGAGTGGGCTTGAGGACGGCCACACTCACCCAGGCCTGAGAGGCTTCCACTTACTTGTGGCTTTTGTGCCTAAGTGCATCCTTGGCATCCCTCCCTATAAATACGTGACTACGTCAAGACTTTGATGACACGTCTGCTGAGGAAGCAAAAGTATTCATTTTCTGCATCGGGATTTTTCTCCCCCCAAGGTCTGCCTGTTACTTGCAAAACTTTGTTCTAGAAACAGCTCCATCCCTTCCATGGATGGTTACAGATGATTGTGTTAACTTCCATTAAGTAAAACAGTGTGCTGTGTTTTGAGTTTGTCGTTTCCTGCTGCCATCTGGTGAACGAACCTAAGAAGGCCTCAACATTGAGCAGGTTCCAAAGTAAACTTGTCATTCCAAAGGCTTGAGCGCAAGAGCAATTTGACCGGTTGGTCAGACTAGTTCAACTTAGGAGATTCTTAGTTAACTAGACCGCAGTAAGAGCCCTTAAGATGGTTAAATGTGGACATTTTAGATGGCTACGATTTTTTTTAATTTTCATGTAGCTTTTCATGTGAGATGCCTGTCGGGTAGGGTTTTGAAACTCTTAGCTGCAGTCTGTTTAAGTTCGTTCACCAGAGGCCTAGAGCCAACACACCACTGACGTCGTGCGCCACCTCCCCCAGTACAAACGCTGCTGTCAGTGACGTCTCTGGCTTCATTTGAACTTTATATAAAAGTGAGCCGAAACAGCGTGAGTCCGCTGTCCGTGGCTGCTGTAGCATTTTCATGCTAAATAACTCATGTGTCTGCTAACTGGACACTCTAAGGATGACAAAGACCGTGAGAGAAACCAAAACCAGTAGAAAGCCCAAGCCTAAGCCTCTCTTACCCTCTGGGCACATCCTGGTGGCCACCTTGGGGGAGCAGGAGGAAGCTCAAGTGTGGCTGGTTGGCTGCTGGTACCCCCCCCCGGGGCGGGTCACACGGCGCCCCCCCAACCATTCATCCTGTGCATTTGCTCCACTCACACGGTTCAGTGTTATCAGCACAGGGTGCCCCAGATGGGTGTCCTGGCCACGAGGCCCTGGTGGACAGTGGCGGCTCACAGTGGGGCGCAGGGCAGGGACCCCAGGCCGTCCTTCCCGGGGTTCTGCACAGGCTGGTGTGCCGGGGTGCCCTCGACCCCGCAAGCCACCGGGTCTCACAGCTGATGTTCTCCCCTGTCTGTGCTGTAGCTTTGGCATCTTGTGTGGCTTTCTGGCCAACCAACGCCTCCGGACACAAATCAAGAGGAGTGGGAATCTCGTCAACAGCAACTTCAAAGACATCAGAATGCTCGTGAATGAAATTCCAGAGGTAAAAATTTCACCCATGTACTGGAGATGCTTTCTATTTATATGCATATATTTGGGATTTCATTTGAACCTTCTAGCAACCCATGAGTCAGCCAGCAGTGATTGATAAAGAAATGAAGGGACCAGCAAGTGATTTCCATGAATGAACAAAATTATAGTGTCATAGTTGGTGTTTTTATTTAAAACTATAATGTAAGATTATAGTGCATATCATAAAAGTACTTAAGGTCTGCGTGATTTCTTTCTCAAGGAAAAATCTTCAGATGCCATCATCTTTTCCTGGCGGTGGGACAATATAGGAAACTCCCCATCATTTGCATGTAATGAGATCTTTCTGCCTTACAAACACCCATCTTCTAACATATGTGCAGCCACATAAGTTCTTTGGAAGAACACTTACACACACACACACACACACACACACACTCATGCACCTGAGCTGTCTTGAAAAAGGCCAGCCAGGCGGCTGGAAACACCTCTTTTCTGTCCCAGAAGCACATTGAGTGCTGCATCCCGACTGTGTCCATGATGCCTGAGCAGAAGCCAGCCCACTCGTGTGACACTGAGCTCACAGCACCATCTCCTGGGCTCACTAGAAACCTCCCTCACAGCAATGTGCTCTTCCAAGCTGGTTACATTCTAAGAAGCATCACCAGGACATTGGATCAGGGCTGGAACTAAAAGAGCAAAGAGTGTGGACATTTTCAGTATTGAGGGAAACTTACTGTATCCAGCTCCACAGCCTGCACAGGGGGGATCTTTCATGTTTCCAATCTCTGAATATAGATTTAATTGTTGTCCATCATGCTAAAGACTCCAAAGTTAAACCCACTCCCCCCAAAGCTGGCAAAATGAGCCACATAGCCATGGTGCCTGGGGAACTCTAGGACTGCTTTCCTATGCTGGAAGGTCGATAAATTGTCAGGAGTTTGGAGGAACAGAGCTCTGTAGATCAGAATCTCTGCAGAGCTCTAGCACCTGTAAAACACTGGAGAAGAGAACATGAAAGTCAGTTTGCCGAGGGAATGTGACTGGCTCAAACGTAACCAGCTACTTACACTCATCTCAGTCACTAGAGAAGTGAAAGATCAAATAACGATGCCCGTCTGCCGACAAGACCTGCAAGGTGGTGTTAAGCGATGGCTTCCAGGGGCAGTGGGCTCGGGGAAGGAGTGTGCCAGACCTGGGCAGGACCAGCAGCCCCTCGGAGGCAGCTCAGTCAGCACCGGCCACCTAGGGATCCTAGTGAGGTCAACTGAAGTCCCCAAGCCTTTGTAGCCCCTTCTTCAGGGGGCGGATCTGTTTTCTAACCCTCCAACCCCACCTGCCTTGTTCAGAAGAAGGCGGCAGATACGGCCTCATGCTAATTTTGAGCTTGGGTTTCGGAAGCCACGGGCTGTCCATCTTGCCCTCTTGCCTGGATATGTCCCCAGATGGTCACCTGTAGGGTGAGAGTCCACCGCAGAGAAAGAGGGTTCAGCTGGCCTCAAGGTCCACACAGCCAGTCCACGGGACAGTTCTCATGTCCATGGGACAGTTCTCATGTCCACAGGACAGTTCTCAGGACAGTTCTCATGTCCATGGGACAGTTCTCATGTCTACAGGACAGTTCTCATATCCACGGGACATGAGAAATCACGTGCTCAGGCCCGTAAGCCTGGCTTGGCTTCTGGCTGTCCAAAATTAGAAATACCACTTTAAACCTGCTCTAATTTCACACGCTCTGGTTGGGGATAATTTTCCTATGTTAAATTTCTCTGAGTTGTCTTGAAGGGTCTTGCACCTTCCAAGAGGAGACTCCATATCATTTCTTCTTCTTTTTCAGCAAATCAAGTATGTGACCAGCCAGTTTAACACCACCAAGACAAGGGTGTTCACAGATCTGGACAGTGAGTGACATTTAAAGGTGTCTCCCATTTTCTTGCTTGTTTGCTTTTTGACTAAAAGACACGATGACCAGCTCTCACAGAACACGGGTGGAGAAATGAAGCTTCTTCATGCAGGTAGGGCAAGGCCGGGAGAGAAGTTCCCTGAGCCAGTGAAGTCGCACCTAGGATGCTCTGCGTCCCTGGTTCTCGGCGCCGTTCCTCTGCCCCCAGGTGGGTGAGGAAGTGGCCTTTGCTGGGCTGTTATGGACAGAGGGGATCCCCTACACGTGTCCCAGGAGGCTGAGGGCTTCGGAAGCAGAGGGTGGGTAGGGCAGGTCCACCCCACCTGCTTCAGGTTCTCAACCAGGGAATGCTTTGCCTTCAGGTAATGCATCAACTGTCAATTCTGGAAGTGTTTCGGGTTGGGGCGCAGAGCTGGGAGAGTCCAGGGGTGCTGCTAAATACCCTACAATGCTCAGGACACCCCAGATAGAATCATCCAGCCCCTGGCCTGATTGAAGAGATGAGGGACCCAGTTAAGGGGCAGGATTAGAAACCCCGTGTCCCCAGGATAAGTAGATACCGAGTCTGCGCTGAGTGACACGTCCCTGGGCATAACTGGTGTGGGGACTTAAAGAGAGTCAGGAAATCTCCACACAGGAGTCAGCCCCAGTGGTCAAAATGTTAAATGGAAGGACCATGCATCCGGCTATCCCCCTTGTGGGTATTTATCCGGAGAACATGAAAACATGAACTTGAAGATGCAGACGCACTCTGTGTTCACTGTGACAATAGCTAAGAACTGGGAACAACCTAAGTGCCATCATTCGGCAAATAATAAGAAAGTTGTGGTGTATAGACAGGAGGAATACTCCTCAGCTGTCAAACAGAACCTTTGCCCCAACACGGCCCTCGAGGGTATTGTGCTCAATGAAATACGTCAGAAGGAGAACGAGGTGGTCAATGGGAAACAAATGGATGAGCAAAACAGAACAGAGTGAAACAAAATAGTGCTTGCCAGAGGGGCGGGGTGGGCGTGGGGTGGGGGTGTGAATCAATCAGGGAAAAGGGGTCCATTGTCCGATGGAGGATGGGAACCAGACCTTTGGTGGTCGAGATGTTGGTGTGAAGCTTATCCAGCTGAAAACCTATGTTACTTAAAAAAAAGAAAAGAAAAGAAAAAGGCCCCTAAACAGATCCCAGAATGAAGACTGGCCTTGTACAGCAGAAGGAAAAGGACTTCCCCGACAAACCCTTCAGGATGATGAAGACGTAAGCGAGGCCCCTCATGTTCCTTTGAATTTAGATATTAAGTCCCTGCTTGGAGGAGGAATCCAAGAACAGCTGAGACCTAGAGTGACCCCCGTTCTGGACAACATCATGGCCATGGCAGAAAGTGAGTGGGTGTGTTTTGTGCATTGTCTAAGTGTCCACTTGCCTTTTATTTAGCTGTCAGGGGAAGTGGGGGAGGCAGTTTTAAGGGCTGAGAACAGCCAGTTTCCCTAGAGCACCCCTGTGGCCTGGTGAGCTACAGACAGGACTG